CCATCCATGTTGTCACAAATGGCTGGATTTCATCGTTTCTTATGGCTGAGTAGTATTCTATTGTGTATATATACGACATCTTCTTTATCCATTCGTCCCTTGATGGGCACTTAGGTTGCTTCCAAGTCTTGGCTATTGTGAATAACGCTGCAATGAACACAGGGGTTCATGTACCTTTACAAATTGGTATTTTCAAGTTCTTTGGATAAATACCCAACAGTAGATGACCGGGATCCCATTTCTGAAATTTCCTCTGAAAACCCAAGAAAGTTGTTAGAGTCCTATCCCTGATCCCTGAAGGAATCGAAAAGCCAAAAAAAAAAGTTACTGGATTCCCAGCCCTGACTCCAAAAGGAATCTAAAAACCAAAGAAAAAATGGATTTTCAGCAAGCCCAAGCCCAGAAAATAACAGTGCTACCTTCAGAAAATGACTGCTCACCAAGGATGATGCCTTGAACCTAAGGACAGAGACTTGAACCTGGAGGACAAAATTCCTCCCCTGAGGTGGCAAAGCATCTCTAGATCTTGAATAAACTCTGAGAGCTCAGAACACAAAGGCAGCAGAGCTCAAAACCCAAGAGGAGACTCACCAAACTGAAAGCCGGTGGCAACTCACAGAAGTGATGAGCACAAGGGGCTTGGTGCAGATACTTCACTTGATTCTGGGGGTCACGACCTCTCAGGGTTGCCTTTTTTGGATCCCACTTCTGACACCATATATGTTAACTTAAAAAGCAAGTGTGCCTTTTATTTTTATGGTCAAAATGAGTTTATTTGGGAATAGCCAAAATAATCAATTCAGGATGTGCATGCTATGGCAAACCATAGGCAAATCCCACAAAGAAGGGGAGCTGCCTTTATAAAGAAAGGGGGTAGTAGGGAGGGGCTGTTCTAAAGGAAAGTCCATTGGGGGAAAATAACTGTTCAAGGCAGCAATGGCTTCTCATTGACTGAGCTGTGGCATTTCTCATTGGCTGGGCTGTTGCTGGGTGGGGAGACAAATCTTCCTTCAGTAATACAGTAGATTTACTTCCTGTCCAAGATGCAAGCTTCTGTCTCTTCCTGTTTGGTGTAATTGATGATGTGTGTTAGGGTGTGAGAGCTCCCCCTACAAGCCTTCTTGACTCCAATTTAATTAAAGTTTCTTTTATTAATTTCCACAGTACAGATCTAAAAGTCACATGCAAATAATATCCTATTACCAGTTGGAGAAAGTACCTTCCTGTACTGCATTATTCACCTGAATCTCCTCACAAAGGAATGCTACTAATTGTGAGCAATGTATAATGAAGGAGGGACATCCATTGAAGGTATCATTTTTAGATGTTTAGAAATTTTCATAAACATTTATAAATAATTTCCATAACTATGCAGACATGTATGTTTAGTACTTGAAGGTGTAGAAATATTTTGGAGAAGTGATATGCTTTGAATTCCTGAGAATATCAATGAATACTGAACCATCAGATCTTTTCAACTATGCTGTAATATTGTATGAAAAGAACATATGTTTCTGAAGAGACAAACAGAACGAATTATAACCCAAAATAAATCAAGCCAGAGTTGGAAAAAGCCCAAGAATTTACACATGATGAGACAGCGACCATGTCTGCCTTGTTCTCCAACATAATTCTACTAACAAGGGCAGTGTCCAGCACCTATTAGTTGTCAGAGTGATATCTAAAATATTTTATATCTGGTATGGCAGGGCACTGACCATCAGAATGGATACTATTCTCACCTTTTCCCTTTCTGTTGAGAAGCAGTGGTTAAGATCATGGACACTGGTGCCAGACAAGCTGAGTTTAAAACCTAGCCCTATCTCTTCCTGGCACTGTGACCTTAGAAGTGACTTAGCCCATCTGTCCCTCGGTTTCCCAATCTGTAAGTGGAGATGATAATAACAGTATCTAGTTCATGGGTCTGTTTTGGGATGAAAATGAGTGAATACATTTAAAGCATTTAGAACTCAGGCAGGTACATGGTTTATTATATGTAAAAGATTATTTCTTATTCTCTTTCTGTGTCTATTTTTCACTCTCTATATCTCACTTTCTATTTGCCTCCTTCTCTGTACATCCCTCTGTAACTCTCCCATTCTTGCTCTCTGTCCAGCACCTCTTCTGGGTTGTTGTCTTTTTCCCCTTCTGTCTTGGTTCTTCTTTCTCTGCTCTCTGTCTTTAGTCCTTTACAGTCTTTACCTCCCAGCCTGCCTCCAGAAATTTTGATTCCACCACCGCAGCTTCCCCAAGGTGAAAGCAGGAGTTCCAGCTCTGTTCCAGCTCCCACCTTGCAGCCAGAACCAACAGAGGTGACCTCCCTCTCCCATTCCCAAGGGACCATTCTCCTCTCTTAAACCCAGGCAGATCATGTTGGATTTATTTCCAAGATAACATTAATAGGAAACCAAACCAAAAAATCCAGAGAAAGGTGAGACATGGACAAGTTTCAGGGTCTGTAAGTGGCTAGAACAGAGGCATAGACTTCCCCTCCCTCATGCTTTTGCTGACTCTCAGTTGGCAGATACCCATGGAAGGGTGAGAATTAGAACAAGTGGAAGATCGATGTGGGGTGGGATAGGAGGTTTGATGGCAAGAATAGTGCAGCAGAAAGAGTGTTATGAAGACAAACACTAGCAAGAATGTGGGTGGGGGTCTCAGCGCTTGCACAGGCGCATCTGGATGGGCCGTGGTATCTTGTTGGGACCAGGGCCAATTGGGGTCAGGTCGATGTCCTCAGGTGCCCCCAGTGGCTGCAGTGAGAAGCTCTGCAGGATGGTCTTGAGGTAGAGGAAGAGAGCCATGCTTGCCAGTGACTTGCCCAGGCACATCCGACTCCCTGGAGTAGGGATAGGGTGTGATTTGACATGGTTGATGAGATGAGAGGTTAAGTGACTTGCTCAAGGCCACACAACAATAGTGACAGAGCCAAGATGCAGCTCCCAGAGGTCTGACTTCTGTCTCCATATTATTAAACCACCTCTATAGTTTTTCTCCTATGTATGTACTGCGTGCACACAGTAGGCAACATTGTAAGCATTTCCTCTTACAATTATTATTTTAGTACTATGTAAACATCAATATTTTTTCCATCAAGATAGTAGACTAGGGGCCGGCCCCATGGCATAGCGGTTAAATGCACACGCTCCGCTGCTGGTGGCCTGGGTTCAGATCCCAGACAGCACCAATGCACTGCTTGTCAGGCCATGCTATGGTGGTGTCCCACATAAAGTGGAGGAAGATGGACATGGATCTTAGCCCAGGGCCAGTCTTCCTCAGCAAAAAAAAACAAAAACAAAAAAAGAGGAGGATTGGCATGGATGTTAGCTCAGGGCTGATCTTCCAAATAAATAAATAAATAAATAAGATGGTAGACTAAAATAAGAAAAATTAGAACTGCTTACATCGTACCAAATGACAACTTTCATGTTACAATACCCACTTCAAAGGTTTTCATCACTCTCTGCCTCCAGCTACAGAATTAGACAGTCAGAGTTGGGTGTGTCTCTGAGCATACAAAGTAGGCACTGCATTGGGCTTTCTGTGTTTCCAAAGCTGGAGTGAAGGCAGTGAGAGTGGGGAGAGGAATTAGGGCTGGAGGATGTAGGTAGGAGAATGGGATTCTGGACATCCCAAGGCTATGACTCCCACCATCCCCCCACTTACCAGCAGAGAAGGGCATGAAGGCAGGGCTCTTCTTGAAGGACTGATTGGCATCCAGAAAGTGCTCAGGGTTGAACTCCTGGGGCGTCATGAACTGACTGGGGTCCTGGTGGACAGTGTTGAGGAGGGTGATAACATCCATGCCCTGTAGGGGAGGTGTAAATCAATGGTATAGGGGGCTGGGCATGGGTCTTGGAAGCAGAACTCACATTCTCTGGGGCTAGAGGCCTTGGTGACTTGAAATGCAGAGTGTTGGGGGAGTTGAAGTCTGAGGTCCCGAGTGCTGTGTGCAGGCCTCAGGCTGAGATGAGTAGGCTGGAGTCTGAGGTATGGGCCTAGGCTCCTTCTCCTGAGGAAGGGCATCTGGGATGCCTGGCTGGGTATTTTGGGAAAGCAGAGTGGTCTCTGAGAACACTAGGGATAATACAATGAGCCCCAGGTTCTGGAGAGGGGTCCTAGGAGGGGAACTTGGCCTTGTGAAGGAGTGGGATGTTCAGAATGGGTTCCAGGTCACTGGGAACAGGAGGGAATCATGGGGAAGAGGTCTTGTTCTGGGTTCCTGGGCCTCAGATGCTGTTGCTATGGCCCAGGGTGCCAGTTGCCAAGGCCCTAAGTGCTGGTGACTAGGATACAAGATGCTGGTAGACAGAGCCCAGGTGACAGTAGTCAGGTTGTCAAGTGGAGGCTAGCTGGTGACACACCTTGGGCAACAGGAAGCCACGGAATACTGTGTCCCTGGAGATTCGGTGTGGGTAGTTCATCGGAATTATGTCTGCGAAGCGCTGTACCTCATGGATCACAGCATCCATGTAAGGCATGGCCTTGCGGTCCTCCGGTGCTGGCAGCCGCTCGCGCCCCACCGCACAGTCAGTCTCCTCCTGCACGCGGGCTGTGGGCGTTGGAGGCTGAAGACACTGTCACTGAGGCTGGGCTTTTGTGTGGGGGCATGTGGGGTAGTCAAGGGGAATCTATTCTCAGTTTTCCAAGCAAGAGGCAGGCCGAAAGGTACTTGCTGGGATTTGTGGAAGACAGAGAAGTAAGGGAATTCTAATTGGGTTGGTGGGTTCACAGAAGGTGGTGGTGAAAAATGGTTTGGTTGGATCATAGCACTGAAGGACTGGGGTTGTTTGTAGGGTATGTGGGTGGGCAGGCACCAGGAGATATGAGTGAATTTTTGGAGGCTAGAACTGAGTATATGAGCGAAGCTTCTGGGCAAGAGGTTTGAGTCAGGTACCCCTGTGGGTGTGGGCAGAATTCAGAGTCCCAGACAGTCTAGAGAGTGGTGACAGGGTGTGTGGGAGAGATTGGAATCAAGATTCAAGGCCCTTCGGATAGGTTGGAGAATGCAATTATTGGAGTGAGTGTGTGTGTAGTGCTGGGAAGGCTTTTTTGGTGGGAGGCTTGGAAGTGGCTCTGTACAGTGTGAGATTTGAACATGGGACTGCATGGGCAGGGCTCCTGGTTAGGTTCAGGGGCACACCTTGCACTTTCGGGTACTTTAACAGAGTGAGGAAGGAGTAGAGCAGTGTGAAGCCCAAGGGTTCCAGGCCAGAAAACAGAAGATTGTGCGTGGTGATCTCCAAGGTCTCCAAGTTGAAGTGGATCAGCGGATCCTCATGCTCCTAGGGATAGGGTGCACGTGTCCATAGTCTGGGGCTCAAGAATCCTCAACACTGGGCCACCAGATTTGCTCACCTATTCCTGGGTGTCATTGTCTGCCCCATCTAAACCTTCCCTTGGGCAAATTGGGGGATGTGTAGGAGGAGGGCCTGATACATATCACTCTGAGGCCTGAAAACAGAATCTCGGAGGATGCCTGAATGACTTATTGATGAGTGTTAATTGATGATCCAGGAAGAGGATCAGGTTGGCTAATTTCACCCAGGTGTTTGGACTCTGCCTGAGATGTGCTGGGGAGGAGCATCTCATAACATCCCATCCTGTCCTCTGAGCTTGCCCAACTCGATGTTGGGCTCCTGGTTTTCTCTTGGGGCCGGGCTGGCAGATAGGCTCCAGGTCAGACCAGAGATGGGACTTCCAGGCAGTGTATACCTGTGCCATCTTGGCAAGGAAGCAGTCGACGAAGTCCTGGGGAGAGCTTGGGTCAAAGGAGGCCTGGTGTTCACAAATGCGGTGGGTGATGAGGTGCTTCAGGCACTTCAGGTTATGGAAGAGACGTTGGTGTGGCCCAGGTAGCCAGTCTAGGAGCCTTGGAAATAGGTTGTACATCTAGGGGTGGGGCAGGGTCAGGAGGGGCAGGCAGGAACACATGGAGTCAAAAAAGAAGGGTGTGGTCAGGTAGAAACCAGGGGTGGCAGAGAGAGTGGAGAGGTGAGACATGAAAAGAGGAGTTGGAGTGTCAGGTTAGGAATAGGTGGATAGGTCAGGAGGTTAGAGGTGAGGTGAATGAGGTGGTCAGTGAAGTGTCTCCAACCCCTGCCCTGGGGGGTAATTTTTGCCACCCCACACCAAAACTTGGTCTCTCCCTACCCCAGTATCCTCTAACCCTTGGTGCCCTCTCCCCCCACCTCAAACTCTCTGTTCCCCAAGCTTGATTGCCCTACCCCAACCCAATCATTTTGTCCCCCCAGTTCTCAAAGCTGCCCAACTCATCCTGGATGGACATTCAGCAGATGGCCAACCTTGCCCCAGTGGCTATTATTGATCTAGAAGTTGTCTTTGAGGAGCCAAGCGATGGTCACGAGACGCTCATCCTCATAGTCAAAGCGGCTGCTGAAGAGCACGGAGCAGATGGTGTTGCACAGAGAACGGCTCAGCACTAAAGTAGGGTCTAAGAGCTGGCCTGTGGGTGGGGGATAAGGAGGCTGAGGACACTGTCTGATTGCCCCACCACTCAGGAACCCCAATGTGCAACACAGCAGAGTTTGTGCAGCAAAAAAAAAAAATCAAATGACATACAACTAATCTACAGAAATATAATTGGCACACAGAACACGCACACGGCTACACAACATATAGCCTAACAAAACCTCAACAGTATATAGCAACCCAGCAGGTCCCAGTGAACACCAAAAAACGCATGGCAACCAAACACAGAAAATATGACAGCTGTGTATTGTAACACACAACAAAATTCGATAATAAAAGTAATCACAGGAAAGCCCAGAACATTTCACAAGACATGGTGGCACCATACAAAATAAACAGCTGCATAATAACAGCATGTGCTGGAGTATTCTGGAACACAAGGCACACATGTAAAAGTGACAAATTGTATTGTAATATGTAACATCAAAATGACACACAGCAACAAGACAGACAGTACCGAAGACATTACAATTGGCATCATGACACAACAAATCAAGGTAATAGCACAGAACAGATGACACACAAACAGTATTCAGCAACAGAACACTTGGAAACTCTGTAAATAACTCACAAGTACACAACTTATAGAACTCAGCCCCCAGTTATAGGTCTCTCTGTGCAACCACACAGTCTAATACCACAGGCCATGCTTCACCATGCTACGATGTTGGCCATCAATAAACCACACAAAACCTTACACCCAGAGACCCAACGACTCAACAGAAAATAAGGAAAAAGACACATCACAACAAGTTTGACATTATACCACTTTACAACCTAGATTTCTCAGAATATGAAGTGAGACAACAGTTTGAATCCTGGCTTGGCCCCTGGTTCTCAATGTGACCTGGGTGCCAACTATTTCCTTCTCTGAGCCTCAGTTTCCACATTTAAAACATGGAAAATATAACAGTTTCCACCTCATGAAGTTTCACAAGGAGTCTGTGCCATGTGTTCAGTTCAAGGCGTGGCCTATCATGACCCTTTCACAGATGGGAAATGTTAGTATTTCATATACATCATTTCATTAAAACCTGCAGAGTCACCTGATACATTTGTCTGCCCATGAGTTAAGAAGGCTCAAAGATCAAGGCATAGAAATGTTAATCTCTTTATGTCATTTTCATCTTTAAAATGGGGCTAAAAGTAGTGTCTGCCTCATACATTACAATGAGGATTCATTTTATAAATGTAAAATACTAAGCACAGAGCATAATATACAGTAGGTGCTATTTATTAGCTGTAAATCTGTTTTTCTCCAGTTTTTGCTTCAGGTTTAGAGTATATATCTTGAACATAATACAGTCTACCTTCAAGAAATATGCAACAACAAAAAGAATAAAATACCTAGGAATAGTCTTAACGAAAGAGGTGAAAGATCTGTACACTGAAAACTATAAAACATGGTTGAAAGAAATTGAAGAAGACACAAAGAAATGGAAAGATATTCCATGCTCTTGGATTGGAAGAATTATCATAGTTAAAATTTCCATATTTCCTAAAGCAATCTATAGATTCAGTATAATCCCTATCAAAGTTCCAATGACATTTTTCACAGAACTAGAACAAAGAATCCTAAAATTTATATGGAAAAACAAAAGACCCTGAATAGCCAAGGGAATCCTGAGAAAAAAGAACAAAGCTGGAGGTATCACACTCCTTGATTTCAAAATATACTACAAAGCTATATTAACCAAAACAGCATGATACTGGCACAAAAACAGACACACAGATCAATGGAACAGAATCGAGAGCCCAGAAATAAACTCACACATCTATGGACAGCCAATTTTTGACAAGGGAGCCAAGAACATTCAATGGAGAAAGGAAAGTTTCTTCAATAAATGGTGTTGGGAAAACTGGACAGCTGCATGCAAAAGAATGAATGTAGACCATATTATCTTACCCCATACACAAAAATTAACTCAAAATGGATTAAAGACTTGAATGTAAGACATGAAACTTCTAGACAATAACACAGGCAGTACACTCTTTGACATCAGTCTTAGCAACGTATTTTCAAGCACCATGTCTGACCAGGCAAGGGAAACAATAGAAAAATAAACAAATGGGACTATATCAAACTAAAAACCTTCTGCACAGCAAAGGAAACCATCAACAAAATGAAAAGACAACCTAACAATTGGGAGAAGATATTTGCAAACCATATATCTGAAAAAGGGTTAATCTCCAAAATATATAAAGAACCCATACATCTCAACAGCAAAAAAAAACTAATAACCCAATTTAAAAATGGTCAAAAGATCTTAACAGACATTTATCCAAAGAAGATATACAGATGGTTAACAGCCACATGAAAAGATGTTCAACATCATTAACTAGCAGGGAAATACAAATCAAAACTACAAGGACATATCACCTCATGCCGGTCAGAATGGCTATAATTAACAAGACAGGAAATAATAAGTGTCAGAGAGGATGTGGAGAAAGGGGAACTGGTGCAACCACTATGGAAAACAGTATGGAGATTCCTCAAAAAATTAAGAATAGAACTACCATACAATCCAGCTATTCTACTGCTGTGTATTTATCCAAAGAATATGAAAACACCAATGTGTAAAGATACCATGCACCCCTTACATTGCATTGCAGCATTATTCACAATAGCCAAGACTTGGAAGCAACCTAAGTGCCCATCAAGGGACGAATGGATAAAGAAGATGTGGTACATATACACAATGGAATATTACTCAGCCATAAGAAATGATGAAATCCAGCCATTTGTGACAACATGGATGGACATTGAGGGTATTATGCTAAGTGAAATAAGTCAGAGGGAGAAGGTCACATACCATATGATTTCCTTCATTAAGTAGTAGACAAAAACAACAACAAACAAACACATATAGACAGAGATAGGATTGGTGGTTACCAGAGGGGAAGAGGGGAGGGAGGAGGACAAAAGGGATGATTAGGCACATGCGTGTGGTGATGGATTATAATTAGTTTTTGGGTGGTGAACATGATGTAATCCATTAAGAAATAGAAGTATAATGATTTACACCTGAAATTTATACAGTGTTATAAACCAATGTTACTGCAATAAAATAAACAAACAAACAAATAAATAAATAAATAAATATGCACCACTTCACATATACTATAAGAACCTTAAGAGAGTATTCTGCAATTTACTTTCTGCTGGCCTTTGCACTGCCGTCATAACTTTTACATGTGTTAGAAACCCCAACATACATTGTCGTTATTTTTGCCTTTAACATGCAAATACTTTTGAAGAGTTTTGAAAAGTAAGGGAAAAAAAGTCTTTTATATTTACCCACATATTTTCCACTCCCACAGTTCTTAACTCCTTTTAGATACATATTTCCATCTGGTATCATTTTCCTGCTGCCTGAAGGACTGCCTTTAACTCTTCTTGTCGTGAAGGTCTGCTGATGATGATTTCATCCTGATTTTTGTATGAATTAAAAAGTCTTTATTTTTCCTTCATATTTTTAAAGACATTTTTATTGGGCATAAAATTCTTGGTAGACAGTTTTTTCTTCATTTGAGGACTTTAAAGATGTTATTCAACTGTCCTGTGGTTTATACAGTTTCCAACTATACGTGAACTGTCTTCTTATTTTTCTTTCTCTGTATGTAATGTGCCTTTTTTGTTCTGGCTGCTTTGGGGATTTTTCTCTTTGTCACTAGTTTTAGGCAATTTGATTATGATGTCCCTGGGTGTGCTTTTCTTGATGTCTTGTGCTTGGGGTTTACATTGGGTTTTCAGTTTTATCAATTATGGAATAGTTTATCCTTCCTTTCTTTCATTTAATTTTTCTGTCTTCTTTCCTTATTTTGAGACTTCCAATTACACATCTATTAGGCCATCTGATGTTGTCCCACAGTTTGCTGATGTTCTGTTTTCACACTGTGTTTATTTTTATAGTTTTGATAACTATGTCTTTGAGTTTCCTAATCATTTCTTCTGCAGTATCTGATCTGATGTAAATCCCTTCTATTATTGTTTTTATTTCAGACATTGCATTTTTAAATTAAGTTCAATTTAGTCTCCTTTACATCTTCTGTGTATTTCCTTAGCATGTCTATGTTTCCTTTTATGTTCTTTAAATTATGGAATATGGTTATAGCAATTGCTTTAACGCCCTTGTCTACCACATCTATTGTTTGAGTCATTTCTGGGTCATTTTAGATTGACTTATTTTTCTTAACATTATGGATCATGAGTAGCAGTCTTCAAGATGATTTCCAATGGTCCCCACCTCTGGTATTTATGACTTTGTGTAATCCTTCCCACATTGTATCAAGGTTGATCTGTGTGATGAATAGAATAGGACAGAAACGCTGGTATGTCACTTTTGAGATTAAGTTGTAAAAGACCCTTTGGATTCTAGCTCAGTTCTCTCTCTCTCTCTCTCTCTCTCTCTCTCTCTCTCGCACACACACACACACACACACAAACATACACACACACAGAGACATCACTAACTCTAGAAAATACCTCTTGCCACATTGTGAGCAGCCCTACGGAGAAGCCCATGTGCTGTGGAACTGAAGCCTACTGCTATCAATCAGACGATTGGGCTTGGAGCAGATCCTCCACTTCCAGTCAAGCTTTCATGTGACTGAAGCTCTGGTCAACCTCTTGACTGTAACCTAGTGGAAGACTCTGATCCAGAACTACCCAGTAAATGCTCCTGCATTTACTAAGGAACTGTGAGATAATATGTATATTTTTTTATTTTAAGACAGTTAGTTTTGGTGTAATGTGCTGCACAATGATAACAAATTCAGTCATATTTCCTATCTCCTTTAATGTTTGGTAATTTTTGATTCATTGCCAGACATTGTTGGGCACTGGGTATATTTTTATTTCTATAAGTAGTCTTAAGCCCTAATATGGGATACAGTTAAATTACGCAGAAACAATTTTCCTTTTGAGGCTTGTCTTAGGCTTTGTTAGAAGGAACTAGAGTATGTTGTAATCTAGAGATAATTTTAGACAACTACTAAAGCAGTACCCTTCTGAGTGCTCTACTTAATATCCCATACTATAATATTTTTCACCTGGATGGAGGAAACAGGAACTCTCTCCAGCTTGAATAAGCTATGCGGATTGTTCTTTCTGCTTCTTGTGGATGGTTCTTTTTCTGCCCTCAGGTAGTTCTCACACACATGTGCTGAGCATTCTCAGATGGACACAAAGCAGACCCTCTACAGACGTTTGGAGGTCTCAATCTCTGCAGCTCTCCCCTCACCGGCTGACTTCTCTGAGAAATCTTGAGACCTTGGCCTCCCGAAACTCCCAGCTCTGTTTCCTCAACTCAGACGAACTCTTGGGCTACCCCTGGGTCCCCAATATTTCATATATTTTGTTCATTGTTTTGGTTATTTCACATGGAGGTAAAATCCAGTCTCTGTTGCTCCATCTTGACCAAAAGCAGAAATTCAGTAAGGCTGTTTAAATTATTATTTTGCTCTTTTCCTTGAATTAGCACCCAGCAAGGTGTGGATGAGCACAGATTTTGACTTGGCTTTGAATTCTAGCTCCACCACTTCCTGGCTGTGTGACTTTAGGACTCTGTGACTTAAGCTCTGTGTACCTCGGTGTCCTCCTTTGTAATGGTTCCTGCTCTATGCGGTTATTGTGAGAATGAAATGATATAATATGTATAAATTGTTTAGCATTGTGTCTGATATGCAGCAATCACTCAAGTATTAACAGGTATTATTGTGGAGATAATATCTTAGATGTGTACTGCATTGGTTAAGTGTGAACTCTAGTGCCAGTTCAACTTATGTTTGGATCCTGATTCCTGCACCAAGTGGCATTATGACTTCAAGATTGTTATTGATCTCTTTGTTCTTCCATTTCCTTATAATTCCTGATAATTGTGGGGCTTCTGTGAACTGAGGTGGTTAGCACAGGACTGGGCACATGGTGAGTGTTCAGAAGTATAATCATCATCTCACCATCATCATCATAATCTCCCTCACAGTTACATATGCTAGACTCCAAATACCATATTGACACATAACAAGACCAAATGACAGTTGCTACCACATCAATCATATCTTGCCACTAACATCAAGGGCACCCAGCACCACAAACTGGGACACTTGGCTGCAACCCTCCAGGGTAACCTATTCACATTAGAGTCTAAGTGAATGAATCTTCCAGGAGTGCTGCAGTGCACAACCTGCACTCCCATACAGAGTAACTCTGACAGAAAAAGTCGAATGTCAAAGAGCCAGGACCAAGGCTGACCTTCAGTTTTCCTTAGCTCTACCATCAGGAAGCTGACTTCTTCCAGGATCTGCTTCTCAAGGCTCTGTTTCCCCATCCTGATGTTATGCAGGGCTTGTTCACCAAACTTTCTTAGGATCTTCCACTTGTTGCTATTGGAGAAAGCAATGCCTGAAAGAAAAGTGAAGGAGCTAGTTCAATTGGCATTTCTTCTAAGAGATCACTGGCCTGTGAGTCTACCCTTCCTGATACTGCTTGGAGAACCATAGAACATATAAGTTCCCTACACTACGAAGGCTTCGCGGATCATCACAAATCAGATCAGGCTTCATCTCCGGGTTCCCAAAGCTTCCAGGGTTTTCCCTTCATAACCTTGATAAGTTCAGCATATCACTGCCTAGTGACAGGGATGTTTCCCCCATTAGACTAAGAGTTCTGAGAGGGCAAGGTCCAATTTTCTCTGAATTGCTGGCCTCGAAACAAAGTTCATTATCTCATTGAATCTTCTGTCAGTCTTCTCAGAGTATCAAACTGAGGGTCAGATCAGGGAGGCTACCTGCCAACAGTACACAGCTAGTAAACTACAGACCCCAGGCTGCTTTCTTTATACTATGTATGAAATACTTAGATGGCATCTATTTTTAACACCACGCTATATATGTTCTCAGATGTTTTACTGTCCAACTTTAGTAAGGTGACCTTATCCCCCTTCTTTCTCTCCCTCCTCCAATATACATGGACAGTTGCAGTCATAAGCTCAAGCCAGAGGGAGCAGATGAAGGTAGGGAAGATACCTCAATATTAATACAAAGATTTTTGCCCCCAGACACCTCTGATTCAGATCAGACATCTGGAACCCATCCTATGGTAGGGGCATGGGTTCCTCATGAGACTCTGCAGAATTGAGAAAGCAAACTCAGGGTGTATGTCTCCAGGTCACTCACTTTCATCCAGGCAACTGTCTTTTTTGGCCTCATATTTACCTTCAACATGATATTTTGAATAAATAATTCAAATGTGCTTAAAATGTTGGAAATACACAGTAATAGTTATTTTCTCAAGTCCAAATAGGACAAGATATTGAATTGTCCACAAGAGCCAGACTTAGCATATGAGGTAGATGTGATTAGAGTTTACAATGGAGGTGATAAGGTGTAGTTTGGTTTGGTGATACAGTTGACAAGGGGTTGAAGCAAGGGAATTAGGTTAGATCAAGAATGGGATTCGTGGATTGTATTGAAGCTGATGATCAGAATGGTATTGAGTAGGCGAGGTTGGTAATATAACTGGGGTGGGTAGAATGTATTAAAGCCTAATCAGCCAAAGACCACCAGGGCCAAAACGTAATGTGACAAAATCAGGTTAATTGGCTTGATACACAGAGGAAGGACACTATAGAGGAAGCACGGAGTGCTGGTCATCAAGTGGGTTGGGATCAGTGCCTTGTGTAAAATTTGGGTTCATGCTGAAGAATTCTGAGGAGAGTCTAAGGTAAGTGGGGTAAGTTCTATATTAGTTGGTCTTTCTAAAGAGGGATTAGGAGAAGTGGAGATTACCGAGGGATTGGATGCAATCATGCGACGTGGTTGATTGAACAATTTCATATGCCAGGCCATAGATGGCTATAAAGAAGAAGTCTAGGGGGTTATTGTTAAAAAAAAAAATCGGTAGTCACTCAAAAGTGGGGGCCCTTACGGCATTTTACAACAACTATGTGATGTTGGGAGGAACAATGTTCCCTGTTAACTTTATAGCTGGCTTTCTCTGTGTCTGTCCTTCCAGCCTGATTAATGACAAGGCTGGATTTTCCTTTTGAGTCCACACTGATTTCACTACTCCTGTTAGGTTTTTACTTTTTCAAATGATATTGGAGTAGGGGATGGTTTTGGTATATTGGCGTTGAGGTTGAATTTTGGTTTAGTTAAGATTGTGTTGTTATTTGATGTGTTGGATTGGATGATTGGGTTTGTAGGATTTAGATGGAAAATAGGTATTGGAGACCATCCAAATTGGATAGCATTTGGGATAGAAGATGGAGCTAGGGATTGGGGAAAAATTATGAGTTCATTTCGACCAAAAGGATTGGGATGGGATTGATTATGGAAATTTACCATGGAGATTGTGTTGAGGTCTAGATGGACAGTTAGGACTGGTTCTGGATCATTTGACTTGTCAATTGAGATGGAAGTTGAGTATGAGGTTGATGTTAAAATAAAGATTGGCAAGACTGAGGTTGAGCTTGAAATGGAAATGGGGATTGCAACAAAAGTACAATTTAAGCTAGTGATGGTGTCTAGGTACGGTGAAGGTAGTACAACTTCATCCCAGGTCCTGGACTGTGCAGTTTCCACGCCATCTGTTGTCACTAGTGGGATAAATGACCCTGAGGGACACCAAGATGGGAGAACTATCTCCTGCTTTCATGCTGCGATAATGGAGAAAGTGTTTTCTGGGAGGGAGGAGAGGAGGATCAAGCTTACTATTTTCCTCGTTGAACTTGGAATATAAAGGGACATCACTCCAGTCACTGAAGTCCTCATCATGGTCCACAAGAGCCTCCTTCACAGCTTGGTGCCCACCGAGGACCACTGCCTGCCTGGATCCCAGATACAAGGTGTACACAGGGCCTTACTTCTTACTGAGCTGTGGGAAGGAACACAGAGGTTACATTTCACCTCCTTATTCCCCCCTTCTCAAGCTAAAGGGCCAGCACCTCCATGAGGGATGTCAGCATGTTTTGGGAGCCAAGCTGCAGAAGGTTTCCCACGAATGGGAGGGGTCTGGGTCCTGGAGGAAGTCTCTCTTCGCACCTTGAGCCAAGGATCAGGAATAGACAGGTAAGAGCCAGAAGTAAGATGGCTGTGCTCCAAGGGTCCATGGTGAAGGCACTTGCAGGCAGCACCTGAAAGGAAAGAGGGAGAGGTTGTGGCTGTGGAAGGGATACTTGTTCCTCTCATCTCCACCTGGAACATGCTTTCCCAAGGCCCCAGATACAGGGGAAGATGAGGAGAGACAAAGAAGTAGAGAGGCATAGAGACAGAGAATCAGACTTGAGAGAGAAAGGGAGGAAAGATGGGTGGGAGGAAGAGAGGGAGAAAGAGTGCCAGAGGCACAAAGGGGCAGTCATAGAGAGAGAAACATTGAGAGAGATAGGCAGAGGGACAAAGATGGAGCCAGAGAGACATAAAGGAAGAGACAGAGACATTGAGAGATAGGGACAGAAAGAGGTAGACAGAGAGTGACTTACACAGAGATGGAGAGGCAGAGACAGAGAGAGAAAAAGAGACAGACACAGCTTAAACTCAGAGAGACATTGGAGAGAGAATAATAGGACAGCCTGTCTCTCTTTCTCGCTCTCTATCCCTGTCTCCCCCTCCCTCCCTTTCCCTCCCTTTCTCTGTCTCCTTTTCCCTATTTGTCCCTCTGTCTCTCTCTACCTCCTTTCCCTCCGTCTCCATCTTTCCACATTTATACATCTTTTTCACCATGCCCATCTGACCCTGGTTGGTGCCTTTAAGTTGTTCAACAGGTGTCTCAAGGTATTTGTGCATGGAACAGGGTGGGGTTGGGGGAGAAGATCCCAGAGCTGCTCTGACCCTATGGTTCATTGTTGGACAATGGGGAATTCCTATGGCCTCCGAATGGCTGAGCTGGGAGACAAAGGAACAGGAGACCCAGGGATACAGCTCTCGTTTAGATTCTCCTTCTCTTGCTCATGGCCCTTGGGCTCCTGTGCAGTAGACATTGTAAGTGAGAGAGTTGATAAATCTCAGAATAGTACACTCATATCATTACTATTTCTTTGGGCAACAGACAGAATCACGGAAACATTTACCCTTAAATAAAATCGATCTTAGAACCATGAAACTATGATAGAACAGACTCCTCAATCCACTAGAATGTAAGCTCCATGAGGGCAGGGATTTTTGTCTAGTTTTTCACCTGCGAATTTCCACACAAAGTATCTTTGCCAGGGGTGGGCTTCCAAAACATTCACAATGCATCTTCTCTCCATCATCCTGCTATCTGAGACCAGAAATCCCACTCCTCAGTTCATCACTTACTCTCACTCTGCTATCCTGACTGTCTGTTTGGAGAAAGTTGGGGAAGAATAGGTACCCACATTCTCCTCCCTCATCCCAGGCTTCTGCTTCACCTCCTTCAGGGATTTCAACAGGTTCTCCACATACACACCCAGAATATTTCTTACTACGTGTTTGACTGCAGAGCTGACAAGCGATGATCAGAGCGAGAGGAGTAGGAATTCTGAGGGGGTCAGTAACACATAGGTGCCCAGGTGCTTTCTGCTCTTTAATCCCCAGCAAGAAGCTGCTCCCAGGTCTTATCAGGTCACTTTCCTCTTGCATCACCACAAGAATACGATAAAGGAGGGAGGTCCAAGGTGCATCCTACTGAGTTGTTGCTCTTGGCATCAGGCTAGGTGCATTAGTTTGCTAGGGCTGCTGTATCTCAGTACCACAACTGATTGTTTAAACAAAAAAATTGTTGTCTTAGTTCTGGTGGCTACAAATCTGAGATCAAGCTTATGGTGGTTGTCTGGCAATCTTTGTGTATAGAAGCATCACCTTGATCTTTTCCTCCGTCTTTACGTCATTCCCTCTGTGTTGTATCCTTCTCCAAATTCTCTTTCTTATGGGGACATCAGATATATTGGATTAGAAGCCCACACTTCTCCAGTTTGATCTCATCTTAACTAATTAGAACTGTAATGGCCCTGTTTGCAAATAAGCTCACATTCTGAGCCACTAGAGTTCAGAATTTCAACACATGAACATTTGGGGACACAATGTAACCCATAACACTGGAGATCCCCTGCTCGACTGTCTCTGGGAGATCTCTCCCAATTGTCCTACCCTCTTCCAGGGTCCACCTTTGCCTTACCTCACTCCATGTACCCCTGGGCTCTATCCTCATGCCTGTGTCCATATATCTCCATCTGACTGTTCTTACATAGTTCTCCAGTCCATGGTTAGTTTCTTCCTCTAACTATGTTTCAGTCACACCCCAGGGAATCTGGTTCTTTGCGTCTGCCTGTTTTCTTCCTCCTCAGCTTATCCTTTTCCCAAATTCTCCTGCTTTTTCCCTCTCTCCCCGTCACAGCTCATTCAACCACCACATCTAGATAACTAGTCATGCGTTGTCTTCTCCATGGATTTGTGTGGATCCATATGGGAATTCCTACTCTATGTGCTGTGGGAGCCCCTTCCTCGAGCCTTTTCTGAACCACCCTTTGCAAATACTCTCTTTCTCTGGTATAACTCTTCTCTTGCCTGATCAGCTCCCTATTCTGCTTCTATCCCTAGGTTCAGCTGCCCAGATCAATGACTCTACAGCTAAGCAAACAAACTATCATGTCATCATGACCTTTTGACAGAATGCCAAGGACAGCAAGTGTGCAATCCCTCCTCCCCCAGGACAAAGTTCTGGAGTGGTCAGTAGGATAGAAGTTAGGCTCAGGAAAAGACTTGGTGAAAGTGGTGCCTTTTCTGCTCCTGTCTCCTTGTGGGAATTCAAATACTTGTGGATGAAGGCTAATTTGGTGCTACAAGTTCCTAAACGAGAATACTCCTTCCTTTTCATCATTGCCAGGGTGGGATTTGGTGTTCTAGGAGTTGGACTGGTCCTTGGTTCAGTTGAACCTCTGCTTCCCTGTCTATCCTTGCCCCCTCTCCCTTATCAATCACTAAATTAGAAGACAGGCCTAGGACTTGTGGACAAACTGGCTTCCCCAACTAGGTACGCTGATGGTAAGCAGACCTGTGCTTCCTTGTGTGGCATGGCTGAGTCCTATCTAGCCTCTGTTATAGATTTAGATGACCTACATTGAACGTTCCACTAATAAATTGGCTTTTAGTGATATGAGATCGCAGCCTTCCTTAATGTGGCCGTGGATCATGCGTCTTGGCCTGGATTTATCTGTGTGTCTTAGAATGATACTGTGACTGACACTAAGCTCAGGGAAAAGACTATACCCTGTGCCTGATTAGTTGTGTATCCCAACCAAGCTGGCCCCCCGATCTATAGGGAGCTCAGAGAAATGACCATATCCTTTGTGATGTATGGACCCCTCGGATGGTCACTCATGAAAGAGCCATCTTTACAGATTAAGAATAGAGGAGGAAAGAGGAAATAAACTTCAGTTGGCATGCTGAAGTGCATACTCCTAAGAGTGGACTGCTCACTAGAACTCTTACCTTCCTCTGCTGCTGCTGCCCAGGCCTCTGTTGCAGCAGAGATCCTGATCCTCATGATTCTGGGGAAAAATATCGAATGCACCTCTTGGCACAGTGAAGGGGTTAATTCCAACCAGCTTTATGCCTTTTAAAGTAACCGTTGCCGTGGATCCTTATCCATTCATCTGTCGACGGACATTTAGTTTGTTTCCATATCTTGGCTACTGTGAATTATGCTGCAATGAACATGGAAGTACAGATATCTCTTAGAGATAGTGTTTTCATTTCCTTTTTGTATATACCCAGAAGTGGGACTTCTGGAACATATGGTAGTTCTTTTTTAATATTTTGAGGAGCCGCCTTTCTGTTTTCCATCGTGGCTACACAAATTTACTTTCCCACCAACAATGCACAAGCATTGCAATTTCTCCACCTCCTCACCAGCATTTGTTATCACTTATCTTTTTGCTAACAGCCATCCTTATGTGTGAAGTGATACCTCATTGTGGTTTTGATTTACATTTCTCTGATGATTAATGAGGTTGAGCATCTTTTCGTATACCTGTTGGCCATTTTATTGTTTTTAAGAAAAATATCTATTCCCATCCTTTGCTCATTTTTTAATCTGGTGATTTGGGGTTTTTTGCTATTGAAGTGTGAGAGTTCTCATGTATTTTGGAGATGAATCCTTATCAGATATAAGGTTTGCAAATATTTTCTCCTATTCTGTAAGTTGCCTTTTCTTTCTACTATTATTTTTTTCTTTGCTGAAACTTTTTAGTATGATGTACTCCACTTGTTTATTTTTGCTTTACAACTCAACTAATGATAAAGAAAATGTGGTAGTACATATATACCATGGAATATCATTCAGCCCTTTTTGTAAAGGCTTCTTTTTTTGAGGGAATCCTGCCATTTGTGACAACATAGAAGATCCTAGAGAACTTTGTTAAGTGAAATAAGTCAGACCAAGGAAGACAAATATTGTGTGAGCTCATTTATATGTTGAAGCATTAAAAAAAAATAAGCCAAATTCATAGTAACAGAGAGTAGAATGATGTTTTCCAGAGGTTGGGGTGTGGAGGAAAAGGGGAGACAACAAAGGTAGAACATAGAAGTCCAGGAGCTGATGGACCACCTGATGGGCCATACATCACACAGGTTATAGTTTTTCCTTTGAGTTCTCTGTATCAGGGGCCAAAGGCTGGTTGGGACACACAACTAATCAGGTACAGTGTATAGTCTTCCCTGATCTTAGCGTCAGTCACAGCATCATTCTAAGACACACAAATAAATCCAGGCCAAGACACACGATCCGCAGCCACATTACGGAGGGCTCCAATCCCATAGTCCTGTCCATGAATTCCAATTAGTTGGTGGACTTTCAATGTAGGTCATCCAAATCTATAACAGAGGCTTAATAGGACTCAAACATGCCACACAAGGTAGCACAGCTCTGCTTACCATCAGAGTTCCTAGATGCAGAATCTAGTTTGTGCACCAGTCCTGAGCTTGTCTTTAATTTAGTGATTGGTAAGGGAGAGAGGCAATGATAGAGAAGAAAGCAGAGCTTTAGCTGAACCAAGGACCAGTCCAACTCCTAGAACACCAAATCCCACCCTGGCAACAATGAAAAAGGAAGAAAATTTCCTTCTAGGAACTTGTAGCCCCAAATTAACCCACATCCACAAGTATT